GGGGCTGAGTTCTGGGCTTCAGGCTACTTCTGAACAGGGTTACTGCAGGACCCCGAATCTGCAATAAAATTTTGGTTTGGGGGGTGGGGTGTGGGGGTTGGTCTGGGTGTGGGGTGCTGTGGTTGGGGGGTTGTCTGGGATGGATGATGGAGGATGGCGAGATGAGATTGAGGGAGGGAGGGATGGAGTATGGAGGATGAAGGATGGAGGAGGGAGGATGGAGAAAGGAAGGCGGGTGTAGGGAAGGAGAGGAAGGAGAAGACGAGGAAAGAAGAAGACCTAATGAGGGGGGAGGAAGAAGAAGAAGAAGAAGAAGAAGAAGAAGAAGAAAAAGTAGACGAGAGGTGAAGAGGGGAAGAAGAAGAAGATGAAGACAGGCCGAGGAGAAAGATGAAAACGCAAGGGGGAGGAGGGGAAGAAGAAGAAGACGAGAGGACGACGAGGAGAGAAGAAGGAGAAGAAGAAGATGACCGAAGGAGGGAGAGGAGGACGGCCTTCATTTTTTTAATTTATTTTTAACCTAACATGTCTCACGTGACCTACCGAAAGTCGACGCACTGAAAGAAGAAGAAGAAGAAGAAGAAGAAGAAGAAGAAGAAGAAGAAGAAGAAGAAGAAAGGTGAGGAGGGGAAGAAGAAGAAAGGTCAGGAGGGGAAGAATAAGAAGATGAAGAAAGGTCGAGGGGAAAGATGAAAACGCGAGGGGGAGGAGGGGAAGAAGTTGAAGACGAGATGACGACAAGGAGAAAAGAAGAAGGAGAAGAAGACAACCGAAGGAGGGGGAGGAGGACGGCCTTCATTTCCTTTTTTTTTTCAACCTAACGTGTCTCACGTGACCTACCGAATGTCGATGAACTGGAAGAAGAAGAAGAAGAAGCAGAAGGAGAAGAAGAAGAAGAAGAAGAAGAAGAAGAAGAAGAAGAAGAAGAAGAAGAAGAAGAAGAGAAAGAAAACGAGTGGGGGAGAACGGGAAGATGAAGAAAGAAAACGAGTGGGGGAGAATGGGAAGACGAAGAAAAAGATGAAAGGTTATGGAGGAAGATGAAATCGCGAGGTGGATGAGGGAAAGACGAAGAAGACAAGTGGAGGAGGAGGAGGAGAGAAGAAGAAGAAGCAGGAGGAGGAGGAGAGAAGAAGAAGAAGGAGGAGGAGGAGGAGAGAAGAAGAAGGAGGAGGAGGAGGAGGAGAGAAAAAGAAGAAGTAGAAGAAGATGAGCCGAGTAGGGGGGGACGTAGGTGGACGGCCTGTCGCATCTCACGTGACCTGCCGAATGATCTAGAAGAAGAAGAAGAAGAAGAAGAAGAAGAAGAAGAAGAAGAAGTATGGCTGCGATAGGGTATGGCGGCGGCGGTAGGGTATGGAGAAAGGCAAGGAGGAGTAGGTAAGGAAGGGGAGAAGAAGACGAGGAGAGAAGAAGACCTAATGAGGGGAGAAGAAGAAGAAGAAGAAGAAGAAGAAGAGAGGTGAGGAGGGGAAGAAACCTCTCGTTTGTGCCCGGTAGGCCTGCAGGAGGCCAGCAGCAGCCGAAAGGGGGTCTGAAACCCCCCGGCAAGTGACTGCGCTGGGGGGGCCCGGCCCCCAACCGGGTGCCCTGCCCAGCCAGGCTGCCCGAGACCTCCCCCGGGCCGCGGCCTGTCACCCGGGCGGCCCGGTTCCCCACGCAGAAAAACATATATATTTTTATTTTTTTATTTTAAATCTGGTAACGAATTTCGATGCGACCCTGAGGCAAAAGTTGTTCAGTTTATTTTTCCACGTAGCACTAGGCTACCAGAGTGGCCCGGGGTCACTTGCCCGGCCGGGCCCAAAAAAAATAAAAAAATAAAAATAAAAACATTATTTTTAAATTTTATTTTTATTCTAAAATTGGTGAAGAATTTCGATGTGACCCTGAGGCAAAAGTTGTTCAGTTTACCCAAGAGCCTAGCTCAGTGGGTACACCATTGAACTGTTGAAATACAGACCCGTGTTCGAACCCAGATGATGGAACTCGATGAGTGAAACCATATATTCTGAATTGCCTGGGGCCGGTCAGCTCAATGATGATTTCTCAAGACCGCCGCCCTTTTTTTTTTTTTTTTTTTTTAAAAAGTTGTTCAGTTTATTTTTCTGCATAACATAGTTTTTTTTTCGGATTTTTTGTTTTTTTTTTTGTTTTTGGCTGGGACCTTCCCTGGTCCTTGCACGGGCTGGCCACTCGGGACCCGGGCGGCCCGGCTGGTAGCCTAGCCATAGCATACTTTTTTTTTTTTGGGGGGGGGGGGTTCCTGGGACCTTCCCTGGTCCTTGCACGGCCGGACCGCCCGGGAAAATAGGGTGACCCGGGCGGTCCAGCTGGTAGCCTAGATTTATTATTATTATTATTATTATTATTAACTTATTATTATTTTCTTTCATTTTCTCATTTTGTTTTATTTTATCTTGTTTTGATAATATAATTGCATCCAGATTCGGACTTGGGTCTGTATTTCAAGTTTCAACAGTTCATGGGTGTACCGACTGAGGCCTGGACCCCGCAGGAAAAGTGTTGGAAAAGACGTTTCCGCAGAACCGTTGTCGGAAGAGTTTTGGAAAGTCCGGAAATCTTTTTGCGGGGACCCCACAGCGGAGGGAGTTTTGCGGCAAAATGTTCAGAAATTTTACCGTAATAGGAAACGTGGCCGCCAAGCATCCCGAAATGGAAAGTGCTGGTTTGTCCGAGTGACCGGCCGTGGAGCGTAGGAACCAGCACGGTCCGGCAGAGGGCGACTCTGGGCGGCGTTTGGGTGACCGACGATCGGGAATCGAGGGCGCCGCTGTATTCGTTGGGGGTGGTACCAGTCCCGGTTACCACAAACCCGCGATGTGACCGTTGGGGCGGACTGCGGACGTGGTGTCTGTGCCGGCGCCATCCCCACTGAAGCGCCTGCCCCCTTCTCACCCCTCCCATACCTGGAGGCGGAGTCTTCGCTCCCTGGTATTTGCTTGTCGTCCGCTGACGTCCATAGTGCGTCAACCTCATTAGCGGATTCCCTGCGGTGTGAGTGCATCCTGTGTTCTTCCGCAGTGGTCGACGAACCTGCGATTCGTGCGGAGTAGGCAGCCATGGCTGGTGCTGGGAGTGACTGGGACGACTCGACGTTCCTGCTTGTTTTCATCCTGCTGCAGTGGATGAACTGGAGGAACGTCGCCGCCATGGCCGTGCTGCAGGCAGCCGCTGCATTGCCGGGAGATGTGCCTGGCGTGTGTTCCGCCCTCTTCCTTCTCACAGGCGCGGTGTTGCACAGCATGTCGTTGACATGTTTGGCGGCCTCTGCATTCGAGAGACAGATGGACAGCCGCCGGCGGATCTGGGTGTTGGCATGCAGTGCAGGAGTGTGGCACGACCTGCAGAAGGTGGGAGGCAGGCACGAGAAAGTTTTTCAGCGCTTTTGCAGACTGCCTAGGCCTTTGTTCAACGATATCCTCTGTCGCATCGGCCCACATATCCAGCGGCAAGCAACGAATCGGCGACAATCGGTGCCTGCAGGGCAGAAGTTCGCATGCGCACTCATCAGGTGGGCGACTGGCGGTTTCTACAGACAGACAGCGCATGGTTTGGGGATGGGTTTGGCGAGTGCCCTCAGGAGCAATGAGGATGTAGCGGATGCGCTCATCACCGAGTATGGGCATTTGATGCAATTTCCCACAGGCGACAAGCTGCAAGAGTGTTTGGACGCGTTCGAGAGGAAGGGTTTCACAGGGTGTGTAGGAGCAATCGGCTGCACACACGTGTCCATCGAGAAACCGAGGAACGAACGTGGAGAGTGCTACTACGACAGGAATGGTCAATTCTCCATAGTCGCGCAGGTCGTGTGCGACCACGAGTGTCCAATCGTCAGTGCGTATGTTGGTTGCCCGGGGTCCGTCCACGATAGGCGTGTGCTCCCTTCGTCTCCTTTGTATCGTGCGACGCAACAGCAAAGCGGGGTGTTTGGGATGGGTGGGGAGGTGCTGCGTGATGGTCGTGCGATCGGCAGGTATCTGCTGGCGGATGCAGGGTACCCGAACTTGCCATGGCTGATGACTCCCGTTGGTGGGACAGGGCGGACACCTGCGGAGCAGGTTTACGATGATTGTCACACGTCGGCAAGATTCTGCATCGAGCGAACTTTCGGTCGATTGAAGGCCGTCTGGCGGCACTTCATCATGAGGCAGATTTGCAACTTGCGAACGCTCCGCAAAGAGTTTTTCGCCATCTGCATCCTGCACAACATCATGGTGAATTCGAGGGTCGAGGTCGACCCCGATCTCCTATCTGATGAGAGTGACACAGAGAGTCCAAGCTTGTTCTGTCGTCGTCGTCGGCGACCTGTGAGGCGCGCAAGACCCGCACGACATCCTCCTCCTCCAAAGGAGGATGCCGCGTCTGCTTTAGAGCTTGGCAAGGAGTTGAGGGAAAGCCTCATCGGACACGTGTGGCATCACAGTCATGTGCACGGCGCTCCTAGGCCGAAACCCTGGGGGATGTGACATTTTTGTAATTCGTAGTGTTTTTCATGTTAAGTGTTTTTTTATGTTATAAGTTTCTGGAATTTGCCGGCCTTTTTCCGTGCTGTCCGAGTTCGATTTCGCCATTTACATGCCTACTCCAATCGCCGTCGCCGGTTGGTGGACGTGTAGTTTTGGGCATGTACTTGCCTCTCTCTCTCTCTCTCTCTCTCTCTCTCTCTCTCTCTCTCTCTCTCTCTCTCTCTCATTCTCTCTCGTTTATCCATATGCATATACTGATGTGTGATTGAATGTGAAATGAAAGAGCACAATAGATTGAATGGAGTACACACAATACAGAGATTGAATTCAATGGGGAGCATCAAAGAGGCTGATCTCTGTTGATTGAATGGAGTACACAGTTTTGGGCATGTACTTGCCTCTCTCTCTCTCTCTCTCTCTCTCTCTCTCTCTCTCTCTCTCTCTCTCTCTCTCTCTCTCTCTCTCTCTCTNATGTACTTGTCTCTCTCTCTCTCTCTCTCTCTCTCTCTCTCTCTCTCTCTCTCTCTCTCTCTCTCTCTCTCTCTCTCGTTTATCCATATGCATATACTGATGTGTGATTGAATGTGAAATGAAAGAGCACAATAGATTGAATGGAGTACACAGAATACAGAGATTGAATTCAATGGAAACAGAATAAACGGGAAAGATTCTATGAAATGCACAGAATAAACACAATACATTCAATGAAATACACGGAATAAAGAACTCAATACATAGAGAGAGAGATGCAACAGACACACACACACACACACACACACACACACACACACACACACACACACACACACACACGCACGCGCGCACGCACACACACGGACGCACAGACGGGGACACGCAAGCACACACCCGCACACATGCGCACATGTGTGCGCATGTGTGCGGGTGTGTGCTTGCGTGTCCCCGTCTGTGCGTGCGTGTGTGTGCGTGCGCGCGTGCGTGTGTGTGTGTGTGTGTGTGTGTGTGTGTGTGTGTGTGTGTGTGTGTGTGTGATATAGAGTACATAAGCTAACTATAAACATGTCAATGAATACATGTGTCATCGGCGAACTCCGACAACAACCAGCAAAAAACACATGCATGCATCGATCGACAAATGTGAGTTCGGGATTAACGAAATTCATGTTGAGGGAGTAGCTCTCCCGCTTTCACGCACACATACAGTCATCCAGTCACAAATGGTTTTTAAGCGGCGGCCCACGATCGAGCATGTATTCCATCCGATGAAAACAACAATACGACTGTCACATTCGTCACACCGGCGAGAAAACAGTATCACACCACTACTTCCTCCAATCGCGACTGGACACGTGGACACCGAACACCCGACAGACTGACACACCGACAGGGTGCGACACATCCCCTACGCTCCGTTATCCGAACCGTGGTCGCTAATTCACCGACCGTGCACACACAACGCAGATGACCCCATCCAAATCTACGGACCCCACAACGAAGGGGGTGATAAACCTCCTCCCCGACCACTCTACGCAGGGACACAATGTAACGTTCCGCCACTCCAGGCAACTTCAAGTACGCACCTGCCCATGCAAAAATGACAAAGCCATCCACGAACCAAAATCAGGGATCTCTCTCGCCTCTACGACCACAAAACACAACCCCGATCAGAACATCGCCACCTTCCTCTATCGAAGATGACGGCAATCAGAACACGCACCCGAACCTACGCACGGACCTCGCCGTGAAGGTACCTGCGACCGACGAGCGGCTTCTCGAGGAACGTGTAGTAAAATGCTCCGTTATCCAACTGCGAAGCGTGCTCCATCGCCAAGTTCTGGATGAGGTTCTCCACGATGTCGCCGACGATGTCTTCCTACAGGTGCGTCCAATCGTCAGGAACGATGGGTCCAGTCTTCTTCACGTACAACAAGACATGAGCGAGGAGACGGTTGATGTAGCCCAAGGCGGCGTCGATGTCAACAGCGGGCTGCCCATTGACGTCGACCGAATAGAAACGGTACGACCGGCGAGTGATCTCGTTCCCGAATGGCGGGTCGTGATGAAAGTACCCGTCCCACTGACGACAGTCTTCCCAATACATGATCGCCTCGCCACGCACAATCTCCCGACATGCGAGTTCCATCTCTCTCTCTCTCTCTCTCTCTCTCTCTCTCTCTCTCTCTCTCTCTCTCTCTCTCCAGCGGGAGCGGCAACGCAGGAATCTCCCACACACGAGCGTCGTCATAAACCTTCTCCCCTACGGAAATGGACTGCCAATGCGCTTTATATAGAAGCGCGCGGGTGCCAGCTGCCCCCGGAATGACGGGCCCCGCACAGGCAGTCGTGCCACATCCCCTACCCCGGGCCATCCGAAAATTACGGTCCCGATGTTTATTTATTTTTATCATAAATTATGTTGGGATGCCAGGGATGGGTTTCAAGGCACCACATTCCGAAAAAACGGGGGCGGTTAACGACGGGTTGGGAATCGACGACCCGCAATGCCCTACTTCGCCAACGGGTCTGTGTCCTGACTGTCGCCGGCCACCCGCCCAGTCCCTGCCCCTCTACCTGCCATCACCCCAACCAGCACCTCCAACACACCATTCCCTTGCCGCATCGCCCCCGCCACAGCCCCGATCTCTGTCGCCATATCTCCCATCTTCGCTGCCATGAGCGCAGCACCTTCTGTTGTGGCACGTGCCATGTTCCCGGCAGCCTTGTCCAGGCCCTTGCAGAGAGACCGCGTGGACTCCTCCATCACAGAAGCCATGCCGAACATGCAGGACGATGACTCACCTCCCCGAACTTTTCCACTTGCGGTCCGCCTTGTCTTCGGTGCACTCCCGGTGGGTTCTGTCCCACCACCTTCGGAGCCTGCCTCGCTCGCTGATCCTCTCGATCCAGTCCCCCTCAAGTCCTCCGACGCCATCGTATTGTCGCAATTGACGGCAGCCTTCTTTCGGTACCACTCCATGGCGTCCCACAACGGCTTCTCAAACGTCAGGGGTATACCCAATGTCTTCCTCTCGTCCGTAGTGATGTCGAAGTACCCCGGCTTGCCAGAGCCACTGCACGCGTCACGAATCTCCCTCACCTTCTTCTGGAACTTGGCCCACTTCTTCCTGCAATCCTCCCCTGTCCTCGAATAACCCAGCTCCGTTAGTCGGTCCGCGATCCACTCATATCTCCTTGTCCTTGTCATGTTCTGATGAGCGCCCTCCGCATCGGCCATGAGGCCGTCATCTTCGCCGCTGATCCTCGCCAGGGCTCTTCGCTCTTCTAGAGTCCATAGGTTGTTCTTCTTGGGTTGGGTCGTAGACTTCCCCCCCTTCTTCCGGGTACCACATGCAGGTCTCGCGGTGCTCCGACCATGCGCACCTCCACCCGAGGTCGTCGACGAATCGGCTGTCGGTCCTTCATCACCATCGCAGTCGGAGTTCTCCCCATCCAACGCAGCCGCCAACCCTTCGCCCGCGCCATCCGGACTCACACCCGCCATGCTGGGCAAACAATCACCGGCCGTGTCCCTCATGGCATTGCCACTCCCTGCCTGTCTACCTTCCGCCCTCCCCGCCGGGGATCCGTATTCCCGTATCACGACAGCCACCCCCGAGCCCCGCTCTTCACCCATCGCTGCCCTTTGCTGTCGTTGCTGACGTGTCGGCGATTGCCGTCCACTCACCCCGACCGGAACTACGACACCAGGTGTCATATACTGCCGCCCCCCCCCTCCCCCCACCCCCCCCTGCCACATGTTGTGGTCGCGAAGCACGATCAGGCACAGGTGTCTGCCCCGCTGTGGCCGTCCTTTGCGCATGCCTTGTCTGTGGTGGCGGTATCGCACTCATGCGCTGCGTGTGTGCCACGTCTTCCTACTCCCCGGCAGCAGCCCAAGCACCGACAACGTCCGTCGATGCGCCTCCCCACGACTGGTAGGATTGGATCGGCCTGTCACTGCTGTTTGATGTCCCCTGTGCAGTCTGCATGTACGTTTCTCGCCCCATGATACCTCCACGGTCGTCCACGCATAACGACTCCTTTGTGCTCATGCCCGCGAAAGTCGCGTTCTGCAGTCTACCTCTGTCCGCCTGCTCCGAACGAAGCGTGTAGGAACCATGAGCTGCCATGACGGGCCACGTCATCGGTGGATGCCCTGCGCCATGGAGATGTCCATGGCGCTGGACGTCTCCGGCCCGAACCTCGTCGGTGTCGTGCATGGATGCACCGACATCCCCGTACAGTTCGGACGTAAAACTTCGTCCCTCCATCGATCTACCGCCTAGTCAGGAACAAACTGATGACAACGGCACTGAAGCAGATCACAACGACGACGCAGAAAGCAATCAGCAGCGCCACGAGTATGGTCGCTCCCCAAAACACAACGCTCAGAATGCAGCCCAGACCGTTGTTGTTGCAGCCCTGGAAGACGATAACTATCGGGCCTGGTGGTGATGTCGTCGGCCGTCCACCACCGTCGCAACGGTTGCGTTCTTTGGCAGCTCTCGGTAGCGCTGGAGATGGCACGTCGAAAGGATGCACAGATGTCCCCCCACGTTGTGCGTTAATGAGCTGCTGTGTCGGTCGTCCCACGACGTTCCCAACGGGCGCCGGCCGTGCATGACAAGGCATTGGAGGCCACGTGGTTTCGACTCCTCGACATAGCAAGCTCCTCGAAGAAGTCCCTATCCACGTCGGCCGGATGGCACGCACGAAGTTTGGAGCGTCGACTGCAGACACACCCACCGCTATGGCCTGGCTTCGTCGACGGAAGGACGACGGCCAATGACCGGGCCCACCTCGATCAGGGAGGGATTGGCAGTGCTCCCCAAAGTCAGTCTGTCGTCTGTCACCGAGGACGACCTCGCGTGCCGCTGCTTGAAGGCGACGACAACCGGACTTCCACGGCAATGCGTGGCGATGGAGGCTGGAGAAGGCTTTCATGACCGAAGCCCAAGGGGAGGAACCACCCACGTGCGCGGCAACGTCGTCACAGGCGCCCTCACATGCAATCGCCCCACCAACGTCGGCTGCCTGATGATCCCAACGGAATGCAAAAACCCCACCTTTGGATTTCGAATTCGAATTCAAATTCCAAAGGGCGGGGCTTTGCCCGCCAAAATGATAACCGGTGACGCGGGGCCACAGAAGGTGGGCCCCGTCTCACCGTGCGACACCGTGCATGGAGCACACTGCTGCTCCAGGACCCTACGAGACGGTTCGGCGGACATCCTGAAGTCCGGCCTGCGGCCAACATCTTGGAAACCTTCGGGATGCCTCCACCCCCAACGTTCGAGAGTCGGCACAAAATGGCGCCGGAAATCCCTCCCGCGGTACTTTTCCACGCCGCAGACCATGTGGAAACACAATTCCGCACTTTTCCACCCCACAAAGCGCGGCGTGTGGGGCCCCGCGGAACACTTCCGCGGAAAACATAAAACTTTTCCACAGACTTTTCCGGCCTGTGTGGGCTCCCGGAAAGCTTTCTGCGGCAAAAGTTTTCCCTGCCGCATTCCTGTGGGGTCCAGGCCTGAGCTAGGCTGTATAAAACATTTCAGATTCTTTCAGAACCATATTCAACTTTTATTTTTATTCTAAAATTGGTG